GCACATGACGGTCGTGACCCTAATTGGAGCATGATTTCTAGCGAAGTCCTTTTCACTGAGATCGATGTGAACTATTCAGAGAGAACCGTAGCTCCGCACGAGAGAATTTATGCATTAGGTTTGAGGCCAAGCTAAACGGGGAGAAGCCGGGCATAAAAAGCCCTATCTCATCCAATTTCCCGGAGCCATCTAGATGGAAAATCGAAATTGACATTTTTTGTCGACATCCTTAGTACACCCGTTGCATTAGTAAGCCAACACTTGTGCTATCTTATCTAAAATTTCTTAAAAAGTCAAGTATTCGATACGTCAGGTTTTTATGATAGGATGATTATTAGCCCACCCAAGAAGAAACACTGTCCGTCATCAAAAACTCCAACTACTCTGCTGAGTTCGGTAGTACTAGGCTCTTCTCATTTTCGGAGGCAACCGCTAGCAGCGGTGCCCATTCGAATGAAATATCGAGTTGTTTTTGTTAGTAACCAAGAGCCGGAAGGGTTCGGACAAGTGTTCAAACTCGGTATACATATGTGTAGGCATCAACACCAGCTTAGAACATTCACAACGTTTCAGATCAGATTAGTTTGTCACACGAATATGCTCCTGGTCTTCATGCCACCTGCCATAAAAGTAGTCAACAAGGGTCGATAATCAGGGAAATCTGTCTTCTAGGAAGTAATAAAGTCAATAAAATGGTCGATAATCGAATAAATCTGCCTTCTAAGAAGCTGCAAAAGTGCAATAATAGTGCAACTCACTCAGTGACAGGCTTAGCATGAACATCATTGAACGATCAGCTGCTGCCTTTTGATTATTGTTACAGAATTTGCTCATTATTTCATAAGCATGGTTCAGGAGGTTTCGGGGGCAAATACCCTTATCGTAGAAGTGAGCTACTATTTCATAAACGAGGTTCAAAAGGTTTAGGCGCAAATATTCTCATGGGGTGGTTAGCAGGGTACAGAAGGTGACAAACATCGTCAAGAAACTGAGAAAATCTACCTACTTTTGATTCATGGGTACGGTCACTCTGGGAGCTTCAACGATGGAGTATCTCTTAGTAACCACAAAAACATCTAATCCGTTTTGAAATAAACAAACAAACCTTTGCAGCATCCAAGAGAGAACTTTGAAGGAATCTAACTAGCATTTTCTTCCATCTAGTGATATTCTAACACACCCAAAATATTGCACTGAAACTACGTCGGTCACTTCAAGCAATGGGCTCATCGCATCCCACTGGCGGAGTATTCTCGCCGCTCGCATACTCTCTAGCTCAAGTGCTAGTGTGTCTGATGCCTCTATGCCCTCACACATGTCCTCTGCGAGCTCCCGCCCCTCCACCCTCTCCGTGGCGTCTCATGCACCTCCTGAGTCGTCCAGAGCGCGACACTCACACACACAAACACACATAGGGATTCAAGAGTTGATTGTCGCATGGACCCAGCTGGCATCACCATGCGGTCATTTGGTGAGCCGTTATCGCGAATCGTCTTCGGCATTCGGATCGAAATGCCGAATTATTACTGAGGTAAGCTGTCGTCACTGCTTCGTCCATTTTCGCTTCACCGATTCCGTTCCGCGTGACGTTGTTTCTTACGGCCTTGCACTCTTGAGAATCATGGTAGCTTTTTACATCGCGGCAAGTTACCCATATCGTGTGGGGCTACTGGCCATGTGCCGTGCTGCCACGCATTTGCTAATAGACTCTTCAGAACAATAGACCGTTGAAGCATTTCCGTTGTCCAAATGGGTCGCTCTCGGCTCATTCTGTTCTTTATAGCAGCTCTCACCTCCTCTGATATTACGTTTAATTACATTATGAAATATGGCGTATAATTAGGAAAATTCAAAAGGGCAGTAGCCGTCCCCTTCCCGTACGCGTCTGGTCATTTCATTACCCCCGATAGCGCGTTCCAAACAAAGCCCGACCTCTTCTCGGCGGAATAATTCCTTCCACTAATCTCCTCAGAAACAGCAACTGCGACCCAAGCGTCTGCCACCATTTGGAAAGCTCTGAAATTCGCTATTCGATTTCCTTTTGTTCTCCTAGTGATCGATAATATTTCTAGAAATTATCTCCAAGCTCGTACGTGTAGTGTCCTATTTCTCACCGAACTGCATGAATGATTTTTTTATCATTTAATCGCGGTTAGCGCGCTGCCTGGAATGATCTTTGGAGGTGCTAGTCTCGGGCGGGGATAATTCTTTGCCGGGTGCGTGACTCTTGAGCACTCAAAACCGTATGACCGCTATCGAGAATTCTCTACGAATGGTTTTTGCCATATCCCAGTTTGTCGTGTTGCGTCTGTATTTGCTCGTACACTTTTTTATTAAGTTATAAAGCCTTAGCCCATACCATGGGATAAACCGCACTGATAGTAGTAAGGTGGAAGACGGATGACTGGCTCGAACAGTTCGCTATCCACAATTAAATTCGAAATGGCCGATTTCCTGAATCTTCAGGCCATCTTTTGTTTCCATTGGGCTAGTGAATACACAGCGAATTGGGATTTGAGCAGGAGACACTGAAACCCCAATTATGGCAGCGAACACAACGATGCAACCTTGAACTCCCCATGTACGCTCGCTTTTTGTTCTGCTTCCGTAACCTGCATTAAACTAGTAAGACAGACCTAAAGAAATTACAGGCGACGCTGTCGATTACACTTGCTCACAATGGTTTTACGGTTACTGTGAATTTCCTGCACAGACGACTACAGGGCGACTCAATCCTAGGGAGAGGAGGTGGGAGCCAAAGACTAGCTCTTGGAAGGGCGGGACTCTAGGGGTTGATGATTATAACGGCCTGATGGCAAAGGGAATGTGTCGAGATCACAGTGTCATCGAGTCAGTGTCAGCGTGAGCCGAGCACAGCGGGACACGTTCAAATAGCAGTTGTCAAGAGGACCGAGTTCACCATAGCCTTCTAACGGGCGGATTGCTGAAACAGAATGCTAGCCGAAACCGACTCTTCCAGCTAACCTGGAAATTCAACAGGTAGCATCGCTCCCGGAATACGCGCAGTGCAACTTCAGAGATGCGTTGCTTGGCAAACTGCAAGAGGAACGCGGCAGAGGACCGTGCGCTAAAAGTCTCCCCAACAGTTTTCCGTTCAAAAGATGCAAACAACCTAGACTTTTCGCTAATGGAAACACTAGCGCCATATGATACGTCTCCATCTATTTCGCTTTTTCCTTTCTCATCCTCGAAGGGGTCTCAGTTTTGTTTGACAGCGCCTCGTCACGCGATAAGTCACAAGCTTTCGCGAGTGTTGAAAAGCTGTCCTAAAACTCTTTGAGTCTATTCCTAAGGAATTGAATTCGATGTTTTCTCGCCGTTATATCCGTGAAACCGCTTGACCAGCGAACTATCGCTACGTAGTCTCGATCTCCTGCAACTCGCTGCATCGGAAACACAACACTCATCAGTACCTATTGCTCATTTGATTCCCTCCTTAACTATTTCATCTAAAGGTACCATGCGGTTTAGTAAGCAGGTATAACCGTACATGTCGCGGCGCATATTGAGACTGGCCTTTAGCGAATTCTCCTGCAACGTTCAAAAAAAAAGTGTCGAGTCTCTAAACACTACAAAGACAATTCTTCCACTCTTTCTTGGTTTCACACCCAGTTAATTACACGCTGCCACAATATATCTGAATACCATGTTTCCGACGTGTTGCTTTTTTTTATTTGAAAGCCTCCGGTTTGCAGACGCTAAATTCTAACCCGTACTATCTAAACCACTTTGTGAAGCCAAGTATGATTTTATCAAGCGCTAAGCCGACGAGGTATTCGTTGTATGGCTAGCGCAGGCGCTTTCTCTGAACTGTAAGCCGGCATTAGCTAACTTTCGCCCACAGCTTGGACAAGAAATCGCCGATCGCAATTAATAGGGCTATCTCCAGCTAAAGTAGATATGTTACTTCCAACATAAAAATTTTATCTTTAGCAAATCATGTGCAAGTTTTGCTCTAATCCTGATATTGCTAACCCTGTAACTGTGATGAAGTCTAGTCCCTCAAGCTGCCATGATCAAAACTGACGAGAAGTTCATCTCTAAGTTTCATGACTACATGATTGCATGTAGTCCCACGAAACATTGCACGATAAACTTCGTCCATTTTTCGCCAGTACCAGTAAGCTGGTTCAGTCATTAACAGTGCTGAAAGTACGAAACTAATCAAATGGGAGGTTGTGGCAACGATTTATTCTGATGCATATTTTTGGTTTGTTGGCAAGCCCTCCAAGTCCCATCTGTTAAAAAATTCCTGACGGGGCCACTTTGGAGAGCATGTTTCAAACGGATGATGTGGATGACGAGCAAATGCAAACTTTTTCATCAGATGTATGAACTAAATTAGTAATCCTTAGCTATCCTAATAAAGGTATCTTTTCCCTCAATTGGAGGTAAATTTGGAAAAGTGAATGAAGGTGGCTCGTTAAGCTCGTGTTTGAAAAAATTCCTCACAACCGCTTTTTGACCACAGGTTCTTCATCCAGAATTGGGGAGGTTAACACGAGATACTTGAAAGTGCTGAAAGCTCCACCATTGTGATCAGATTCGGGCTTGAAAACCGGAAAAATGACTGATGAATTAACCAAAAAACACTCATTCCCTCCGTCTCAGACTCGAACATTTACTCTCTTTTATCTCTTATCTAGTTGCTGCTACTTTGGGATGAAAATATTGTTTATGGTACTGATGAGACCCTTCCATGCAAGGAAATGAAATTAGTGAACTCTTGGTTCTTTCTTTTTGAGATTTCGGCACATTTCTCAAGGTTGTCATTACGCAGGGGAAATCAGTTCCGCTGAATCAACACTAGCCGCCAGTTGTTTTGCAATGATATTATCAGAAGCGCTTTGTCAAACTGGAGCAATAAATTTAATCATCGACCGAGGGGTAAAGAGACGATGTGATATCACTTCCATTGACCTGTGCTCCAGATTGTCTGGTATTTTTTGATATTTTAATTTTAGTTTGAGCAGACAATAATGCGCGTCATCTGTGAAGGCATCGCATCGTGCAGGGAAGACGCCAAGCAGTTTACGCGCTGCAGTTGTGCCGTTAGAGTCATGTTTTTGAAATAAGAGCTTCCTTCGATTACCGCAACCACGGATCAAATTACATTTCTGGAACTTTACTGCTGAAGGGCTCTTTTTATACCTGTCCACAGCTTCAGCTTCTCGTCGACTTCCCTTCCTAAGGGCTAGCTTGGCTTAACCTCATCTTTACCTATTCCGCTGCCATCAATTAACAAAAACGACTGATCTCGGCTTTCTTTCTTTTGACTTCTGTCCTTCAAGTTCCACCTATCATGTGGTTTCGTTCAATTTTTGACCACGACTCATAGGATCGCTGCTGGAGGCTACTTTGATTAGAGTCGCGTGAATGTAATTTGCTTTACACCAGTGTCTTCCAGCTCTTGTCCCTCGAGGCTGTTCTGTCCCACCTGTTTTCAGTGGAGAACATGCCACTCAGTTCACTTTGCCGTTGAGAGCTCATCGATCAGATGCTAAATGCGAATGATGAATGTTCCTCTCAATCCCTTGTGATAACTTTGCCAGTCGATCTTTACACTACTATTCCTCTCTCTCTACCGTGCTCCAATCGATGGATTGGCCGGTTAATTCGCCCTGGAACGTGCTACAATCACATCAGGAACGGCAGGGGTACCACTATGTTCAATATCGTGCTGTCCTTCAGCGTCCTGCTGCTGAAATGCTCGTCTACAGCCAACCATTCCAACAATTCAATTACGGGTAATTCTACTAGCAATCCTTCCATTAGATTTGGTAAAGTGCACGATGAGCAATTTTCTCCATTTCTTGGACCTAACGCTCATCACGACATTCATTTAAAACGCTTATGTTCGTGCGGCAAGTCCAGAATATTTTGTTTATTTAGAATTCTTTTTTGCACGCTATTTTTTAGTAGGGATGTCAATTGGATTATTCACACCACGAAGTCAATTAAGTGACTATTGAGCTCGTAAAAAATCAAATTAGATCTCTATTCACCTCAAAAGCTGTGTTTCTTGCATGCATAGTCGATACTTGCCTTAGGAGGGAGCAAAGGCAGTTTCTTTCTCTGACGGCATCGAATTTCCTCTATGCGCCCCTTCGAACAGCATCGGGAAATGGAGCGTCTAAACAGCCTCATTGCGTGGCGAAGGCGAATGTTTATTGAGTACGCAAAATCTAACGGTGCTGCAAATCGTTATTATAATTGTCGTATCGTTCGAGCTGGGGGATGGAACTAGTGACCTCAAAATCACTCAAACACCGTTTATGTTTGGTAGTGGAACCAACTTGAGCTCTAAGAACCGCTGAAAGGATAATTTGTAGGAGACATGCCCCACCTCGTCCCGTGACTGCAGACAGCGGCTGATCTAGCAACCCGTAATCATTACCGCTTTTAGTGGAAAGTGCCGCGGAATTTTTACACAAGTAATTAGCTGGCCACAAGAGCCGCCACTACCTCTTGCAGGGCCAACTGATCAAATAACATCTAGTCGGTGCAAGTCTTGCAAACAAATCGCTCCAGTCGCTCAGTTGGTGCTGGACTTGTTTGAAGCGATAAGTAGACATCGTACATCAGCTGAGCTAAAGAGGCACTGGTAGTGGAAGTCAATTTAGAATTCCTACGCATTTCAAAATGAAATTCGGACTTGCATTGATCAAAAAAAGTTTTCCTTCGTTAGTTGTTTGATCCAGTTGCTGATTTCGCTAGCACAACACCTCTAAAGGCTCCAGTATGGCTTTTGTGAGTATCTAAAGTCATTTTTTGAGCACAACTGACGTTCAAATGCCATCACTAAACAGCCTACTGATTAAAAGGATAAAAGGATAAAGCATTTGCCGTTGATCAATCCTTTTTGGGATGCGGCACGCATTCTACTTCCATTTGTACATTCGTAGTGGCGTTTGAATGCGATGTGGCCTATACAATGACTTGCGGGGGCCAGCCGATGTTACAAGTCAGTGTTTTTATCCTCCCAGACAAGTCTGGTACCAATTAACCGACCCCGGAGGGATGGAAAGGCTTGGCCCGGGCGACTCACGACCCAGGGTTGATCCCTGGACCGCTCGCGTGGTAAGCGTGTCACTTGCCACTGCACCACTTCCACCCGCCACTGATTATTTTGGAAAAGCTCTTAAAAAAAACTTTGTGTGGATCATGCACAGGCGACAAGCGTTGTTCTCAGGCTTAAATTCCGGATCAAAATTAGCTCCATCCGATTGCGTACATTTTACGAAATGATGCGCAATTAAAAATTATAATGAAGATTAATTATGTAGTTGTTCTTGATATGGTGCAAGCTTATTTATTACATAGAATGGAGGCAATTGTGTGGCAGTTACCTGAAATGGCGGGGAACCCATACGGCTTAATGGCTCAGATATAATGAGAAACATAAAACACACCGAACGGATGTCCATGAGCCAAGAGTATTGTTCAATCTTCGCTTGGAAAAAAAAATAGCTTGTTCGGCATCCGCTAGATGTTCTCCGCAGCTTGGAATTTGCTTTACAACACATTGACGACAATGCGAGTTTTGGCTTTTTTGGCCACGTGGGACCGCGGCGATTTTGCGGGCGCGCTCGCCTCAGGTCGTTCAAGCAGATTTTGAGTGATAAATACACAACTAATGATCAATTCAAAACCAAATCAGTAAATTGTAATGAGCGCAACCTAACCAGGGGTACAGTAGTGGAATTTTGATCGAAAGACATGGAGTAACAATGAAAAAGCGAAATTGGTCAGAACTAGCTGCAATGGACCTCAAAAGCAATTTTACGTTGATTATTCCAATCAAAACACACATATTGTCATCCCTAAGGTTCCTATCTACTTCTACTACTATTTAAATCTTCACATTAATAAAAAGAAAAAGTAAACGAAAAATTTATTGAAATGAAGATTTCGTATGGTTCAGAAATCCTCCTCTAAATTAAAGTATACGTGACCATTCTAGGGCCACTATGTTTGTAGCTACGTCAAGGTCTCTTCCATGGAATGAATACAAGAAACTTCTAAAAGAATCAGGCGTGCGCGAAAAAATGAGTGTAATGGGTGCGGGGGATATATATCCCGCACGGTCCGACATGGCCTGCAATGCGCGGGATATATATCCCCCGCGTTGTCGTCAATGTGTTAAAACGAGGGTGTTAGGACCTTGATAGGCTTGCTGCCTTTTTCTTTCACTGCCATTCAGAACATGCGAGTGTCTAAATGTCCTCTTGTATATTGTGCTCTATCGCTTTCGCCTCTTCTCTACTCCCACTGTCTCTATCCGCTAGGTTAGCACATTCCATTACAAGAGGAAGCCCTTATTTTAGTAGTCTCCATGTGCCCTTGTTGAAGCCTCGGCATTTGGTGTCTATTGTACTGTAATGTTTTTGTGCTGAATGTCGTAATGGCCAAACGAGTTTTAAGAAGGACTCAATAAAAACAAATAGCCTCTGAAGAAGGCGAAGCAGTCGAAACGTGAGGCCAATTAATAAGGGTTCCATCTTAGAAACCTTGTTTGGGTTTTTCTGCGAACTTCTTTTCTTTTTTTCGTGTGCAAGAACCACATTAATTTCATCGTCGTTACACCTCCAATGGATCCATCACACCCGTCTGAAAGTCATATGTGCTGCTCTTGCAAAGCAACATTAAATGCTAACGACTCTGCCCTTTGCTTTTGCTGTCTGAGTGACAGGCAGATTAAGTACACTTAATATGCACTGGTAGTCGTTCAACATTTGAAAACCAAGGGAAGGATAACCTAATTCCAGCTGGCACAGGGTTTCTACATTAGAATCCTCTTAGGCCGATGTCAGACTTTGCGAATCGCGCGATTCGCTAGCGTCCGCGGTCGCGTTGCGGTACCAGCCAATTGAGTGATTCACTGGCCGCGACGATTCGCGAAGTCTGACATCGGCCTTAGAACTGCTTAGTCATAAATATTGACCTTTGCTGAGAGAAAGGGCACGTGGAGAACTTGTAACGATTAAGGAAAGAACTGGGAATTCGAATATGGCCGATGAGGTCTTCAAAATCGTTTCTGAAAGTAATTGTGAGAAGATCTACGTTGAGGAGACGGAATGCTTATTTATTTGTTCAGTTTCGTCAAAATTGGAGGCAGTGCCCACTTTATTGCCTATCAAGCCTTAGAATACTTGAATCACATTTGCGTCCTAGCAACGATTATTCCAATCTATATTATTTAGTTAGCATTCTCGTTTGGCGTTTTTGCTGGGATATATCGAGGAAAACACATGAGCTCTAGGCTAGCACTGATGGACCAGTATAGAGCCCATTGAAAGCCTTGTTCTGGGCAAAAACCTCTATCATTGCTGCTGTTTCGTGATCCTCTCGCATGACTCCGTCCAATAGCTTTGCTCAAGAGAACCCAGCTCTCGCTGCATGGAAACTTTTCTCAATTTTGATAACCCTACTACCCTATGGTTGAGTCTGTTCGAAGATGTATCGGTCCCCTTGGCATGGTCGGCGCTATCAATATTGCGCTGCGCTGTTTTCTTGTTATTTATTTGCTGCTTGTTATCAATTCGTATGCATTTGATTTATTGTTTTGCTTGTTTATCAAAATCAAAAGCTCGCTAGGGAATCTTTGTCGAGCAAAGAAAGGTGGACCAACAAAAAACGCGTAATGTTTCAGCGAAAATAAAGGTTGACTTCTCCATGGGAGTTTAGGGACTACACTGTCTGATCATGTTTTCCGTATAGGAACTTGTTCTTGCGAAACTTTAAAAAATATTGGAAAAAAGTCGGGCGATATCATGTTTTTTCCTACCAGAACTCTGTGCAAAAAACGTAAACGTTGGGCCATCAGGAAAAGGTTCTTGTAGGAAGATGACTATGTCTATGAGTTTTCAACGGCTTGGAAGGGTGATGGGGCTTTGCTTTTGGCTGGGTATTGCCGATACACAGCCAAATGGGTAGATGCGGAATTTTTTACCACTACTAACCTAACTTCTTACATATACACTCTATAACACGCTTATTTACAAGGCTATACTCCTCATCATTATTACGTAACCACTTCCTTCATTCCCCCTTTCTCCATCCCTCTGATTCTGTCAACCCTCTACTCGCTAAAGAGTCCTAGGGGGTTGACGAATACAGTGATTCGTATGAGTCAGATGCGAAACGAGCCTTCTCTTCTCTCGAAGCCAGTTAGTAAAAAACAAAAGCAAATAAGCAATTTTC